GCCGACAGTGGTTTGAGTCCTGGACCTGGTGGCTTGCTTTTTCACTTTCCCTCTCTCTCTCTCTCTGTCCCTATCTGGTCAAATTAAAAATAAATAAATAAAGTTAAATAAAGTAATTAAAAAAAAAAAAGTACCCAACTTCCTACATACATACAATAAAGTTGCAAACAAAATGGCTTGCATGTGACTTTACTGACCAAACAATATGGTCCTAGGACCACTGCATCCTGTCAATCAGATGAAGGGCCTGAAAAAAATACAGGTTTCCAGACCCCATCTCTGCTGAATCATAGTATGAAGGTAAGATCCAGAAATGTGCAATGTGACTAAGGATCCCAGAGGATGCTGCCCACTGTGAGCTTACAGATCGTTTAAAAATGACAGCATAGGGAACCAGCAGTTAGCGTAATGGCTGGGTCGCTGGGCTCCCACATAGTCAACCGCGGTTCGTGTCCCAGACCCGGTGGCTTTTAAAACCCAAGGAGGGCGTGTGTGCATGCGTGCCCAAGATCTCGAGAGGAGAATGGAGGAGAAGGGATTGTGGCGTGGCCATCCCCTCTGGGGGGTGATTTTCGCTTTCTGTCTGTCTCTCTCTGTCTGCCTGGCGAGCGTACACACCCTATAGTAAAAAAACTCTCAAAATAAATAAATAAATAAATAAAAGACAGCATAGAGGCCAGAATGTGCCATGGTGGTTGAGGTGCTGGACTCCCACATGGCTGACTACAGTTTGAGGCCTGGACACAGAAGCCTGAAACCCACACTGGGTGTATGTGAATGTGCACCCATCCATAATCCCAAGGGAAGAATGGAGGAGGAGCATGGATTGGGGTGTGGCTCTCCTCCTAGGGGGTGATTTCTCACACTTTTTTTCTCTCTGGTAAGCACGCACACACTCTATGACAAAAATCTCTCTTAATTTAAATAAATAGGTAAATAAAGCAAGTATGTTGGGATCAGCATGTGGTGTGGTAGTGGGGTGCTCCTACATGGCTGCCTGTGGTTCAGGTCCTGGACCTGGTGACTTGCTTTCTCATTTCCCTTTTCTCATTGGTCAAATTAAAAATTTTAAAAATAATAATAAAATTAAATAATTCTTTTTTTAAAATAACAGCATGTTAAAATACAAGAACCTAAGGAATTTGAGTAGATGAGGAAAGAATTGAAAAGCAGATCCTAAGAAAAATCTAATGCTAAAGTTGTCTCACTACCATTTTGAATTTCACTTCCTACTAAATTCTACTGAATGAAGCACTGACACAGGGCAGAAAGAATTACAGTGTAGCTTTACCAAATCCATCAAGTCTGGTCTCTGGTTCCCTGTCCACTTAAGACTCTAAAAACCAGAACCGTCCCTTCTCTGACCATCTACTACTCTGCTGCCCACCCCACTTTGTTGCTTCCTCACGCCCATGCATTCACTCACCTGCCACCAAATTTTTAAAAATATTTATTTATTTAATTCCACTTGTTATTATTTTTTAATTTGACCAGAGAGAGAGAGAAAGGGAAAGTGAGAAAGAAGCCACTAGATCCAGGATTCAAACTGTGGTCAGTCATGTGGGAATCCAGTGCCTTTAACCACCATGCCACCTGCCAGCCTACCTGCCACCAATTTAATGGTCATTAGGAAGAAAGATGCAATCATCTCACCACTGGCAGCCAACAAACTCCCCCTCGCCCCTATCGTTTGAGTAGGCTGATAGTGCCAAAGTAAAGGCACAGAGGTCTGAACCCCTGTCTTTGAAAGTTTCAAACTTTAAGCTTAACATTGCACAGAATATTGTTGAAATCGGGACCAGCAGTTGGCCATCCCCACTGGGAGTGATTTCTCGCTCTCTGTCTTTCTAGCGAGTGCACGTGTTCTGTAGCAAAAACTTCCCGGGAACCAGCAGTTAGTGTAATGGCTATGTCGCTGGACTCCCACGTAGTTGACCGCGGTTCGCGTCCTGGACCCGGTGGCTTAAAACTCACGCCAGGTGCATGTGCGTGCGTGCCCAAGATCCCGTGAGGAGAATGGAGGAGAAGGGACTGCAGTGTGGCCATCCCCCCTGGGGGGTGATTTCTCGCTTTCTGTCTCTCTAGCGAGCGCATGTGCCATATAGCAAAATCCTCTCAAAAAAAAAATTTTTTTTTTTAAATAGGATATATTATACAGTGGTATAAGTGCTGTAAAAGAACTACTGGTACACATTTAAGTGTCTTGAAAGTGTAAAAAAAAAAAAACTAGAAATTCCTTTGGGATGATTTTATTGAAGCTTCAAACTTTCTAGCTTGGGGGAGCAATTCTCAATGGTAAAAGAAATAATTCCCTTTGGCTAGAGTTGGTTAAGCATGTTGACCTCAAGTGTCCAGAATGAACAGGTAGCCCCACCTTAATTGCCAGGCCAAACCCAAACCCAGATCACCTGTGAAAAGATATATTTTATGTCACAAAGCTGAGGCATCCATAGCTACTAAAAACACTGCTTAGTAATCATTAATGTGAATAAACAGGAAGTCAAATAATCTCAAGCTCTATATGGATTGTCGAAAAAATCATGATGTATTTTTCTTCTATGCAAAAACACATCATGACTTTCCAACAACCCAATAGTTCATTAGATTTTCTGACCATGAGAATGAAAGTGGTAGAGATCAGTTTCCCCCAGGTTTAAAGACTACTCTGCCTTCTTTTTTCCTTTTTTTGTTGAGAGGTTTTTGCTATAGTGCACTTTCACTCGCCAGCCAGCCAGAGAGACAGAAAGCAAGAAATCACCCCCCGAGAGGGGACAGCCATGCTGTAATCCCTTCTCTTCCATTCTCTTCTTGGGATTTTGAGCACACACCCGGTGAGAGTTTTAAGTCACAGGGTCCAGGACGCGAACCGCAGTCGACTACGTGGGAGTCCAGCGACATAGCCATTACGCTAACTGCTGGTCCCCCTTTTCTTCTTTAAGAATTATTTTATTTCACTTTATTTATTTTATAAATTTGACCAGAGCGGGACAGAGAGAGAGAAAGTGAGAAAGCAAGCCTCTGGATCCAGGACTCCAACTGGCCAGCCATATGGGAGTCCAGAGCCCTTAACCACCATGCCACCTGCCAGCTCCAAGGCTACTTTCCCTTTTAAAGCCTACTTTAATATAAAAAATAAAGTATATTACCAATTAGGACTGCAGACTAATTTAGAAAGCTTGGGCAGGGCACTGGCAGGTGGCATGGTGGTAAAGGTCCTAGACTCCCACCTGGTCAACTACGGTTCGAGTCCTAGACTTGGTGGGTTGCTTTTTTGCTTTCTATTTGTCTCTCTCTGGTGAGCATATGTACCCTGTAGCAAATTAAATAATAAATAAATAATTCTTTAAAAGAGAAAAGAAAGCTTGGGCAGGTGTTAGCAATGTTGTATCCTGGTCACAATGCTTAGTTCTCAGAAAACGTCCACTCCTTAGTTTGTGGAGCTTTGCTAGTGTTAAGGGGTCAAAAGTCTTCTAATGGCTTCCAATTTATAGATCTCGAGAACCCTCAGGCCCACCTCTAACAGGAAAGTAAATAATAATGGTAACCCAACGAGTAGCCTTATCATTACAGAAGCATTCTGAGCTTCCCTAGGGCCTTAAGAGACAAATTAAATTCAAAGGTAAATCCAAAGGCTTTTTCAGACTCAATGCAGGGTTAGACTGTCTGGTCAGGGTTGGCAGTTCTGAAATGAGCTAATTATAGTGTAGTTTATTCTGCCAAAACATTATCTAGAACTTGCTTTACTTCCCAAGAGGTTTCCTTACTTTATTTCCTGACAGCAGGAGAAGCAACAGCCAAGTATGACAAGTATCTCTCAAATGATCAGCCTCTACCTTGCCTGAAGAACCTCAAGGTAAATCCTACATGTTTCACTTTATCTCTTCCGACCACATGATACAACACACAGTAAGTTAAAATCATTCTAAGCCTTCCTGCTCCTTCAGATGCTGGTAGATTTAAACTGACTGCAGAAAAGAAAGCATAAACTCTTTGCAGAAGTCAAGGTCACTTGTGGGACTGTCCCTGCTTGGATTAGAGGGTTGGGACTCTCCAGCATAATGGTTTCTCTGCTTAAAGGGCCAAGTTATCTAGAGCCAAAATTTGAAAATGGAGGAATTTCTATGACCCAAAAGGCAACAAATGTTCAGTAAAGCACCCAAAAGTTCCTGGGTAGAGTAGATGTAAGATTAACAATAAAACCTGGGTGAGCAAGTAGTAGGACTAATCATGTGACCTTGGCATTACTTTGTCTTGCCCAGTAGCTTCATTTATGGGCCTGCAGTTCAGTAGGATCGCCTCTCTGGTTCTTTCTCCAATCAATGTGATAATCTTACAGGAGTATTTACAGAAGTGCTCCACCCCATCCCGCCCAAGTTCCTCCAATAGAAAGAGTAAGTGTAAGAGTTCCCAAGGACAAAGAGGAGTTGAGGGTCCCATTCCTTTAGCAGGAACTGCTCCAGGGTGGTCACTACAGGATTAAATAACCATGCTGGAGGAATGGAAAGAGGCAGTGCAGGAACTGACAAGGGCCTCCCTGCAAAGCAGAGGCCAAAATTAGGCACCGCTCCAGCTCCCGCCCAGGGACAGGAGCACATCGCCTTCGCCCCCTCCTCAAAACGGACCCTTTCCCTAACTCCAGTGGCACACCACACCTCTGTCCCTTATCGGCGGCTCCTGCCTCGATTCCTTTTTCCAGGGTCGCGCATCCTCCCCTCCCCCTTTCACCTCAGACACGCGGGATGACAGGAAGGTCGGGCCTCTCTACGAGCCCGAGACCACAAGCCGGCTCTGGGTGTATTCCCCTCACCCGCAGGGGCCGGAAGGGCAGCGCAGCACATGGCCCTGGGAGCTGCACGCAGGACTGGCAGACGGCCAAGGGCAGGGTCCCTTTAAGGCGCGGAGGGGTGCGCACGGTGAGGGAGGGAGACCCCGGCGCTAGAGGGCCTGCGGTCGCCTCAGCCCCACCCTGGGACGGCGCGCTCCCTCTCCTAGTTGCTCACCTTGGCTCCCAAGAGCCGGGCGGCGGCGGTGAGTAAAGCCATGGCGGGCGAACTCTGGGATTTGGTAGGGAGGGATGGAGGGGAGAGAGCTGCGGTACCAACGGGGGCCGCCGCCGCTGCACCGGAGGCCGAGCC